GGAGCCTTTGGGGCGTAATCGAAACAACAGACCTGAGATTTCAGGCAGACCCCTCAACTTAGTGGCATTCATTTACCCCCCATGTGCAAAACAGGTTCTGTGCCAAGTCAATCCCAGAATTTCATGAAATCCGTGCATTCGTGGGCAAAATCCTCATGATTTAGAGAAAGTATTGAAAAAAATAAGAGGAAGAATATGGACTTTGCAGAAGACAACTTCAAATGCTTCCCCAGCTCTCCACAGATAAAGCAGTTGTAGATTCCAGGTACCAATGCCAGCACAGGACTGGGAAGCGTCCATCAAATCACCTAATAACGGTTGTACCAGCTGTGCTAAGAGGAGATTACAAATAATCCTGCAAGCATGTCTGCGGTTCACTGCCACGACAGGACAGGAACAATCTTCCAAATAACACAACACAAACAAATCCTTAAATATTTATTTGTTCCCATCTTTTGCTTAGTTAGGAATCAGACCACACTTAGAAGCTGTTAAGATTGGCTTCGGGATAAAAGAAATTCTGATTGTCCTTCCCCGCTATTTTCTGAGCTGCCTGTGCTGGGACGTACGTCTGGGACGCAGACGGGATTTGGAGAGGTTTTGCTATTTCCACTACAACCGTTTTGAGAGCGCATTTGGGTGGAGAAATCTGCTTCCAAGATCCTGAAAGCTGCAACTACACATAACCTCCTCCTGCCTTTCTTTTCTGTGTAGTTGTTTTTTGATTGAATCCGAGATAGTTAAGTTCTGTAACATAATAGTCAATATTTTCCACTTGACAGAGGAACTGCCTTTGAATTATCACGTGAAAACCGCAGGGTTTTTTTTGACAAACTGGAAAAGGAAGCTCTCTGTTAGACGGTTGGCTCCTCAACAATCCAAAACCATCTTTTTAAGGGTTTACAAAGGATATGAACTGAAGGAAGACACAGCACTGAAACAGCAGAAATTAATTGGGTTTGGATTTTTCTGTTCTAACCTAGACATCTTTTTATCAGTTGGATGTTAATTTTGTAATCTGGGTTTACAGTTCATAGGGCATAGAGCTTACTCTGCTCAGAGCCTAAACCTGTAGCAAGCCAGGCTAACTCCCACACCATTTCCATTCCATCAGTTGGAAAGTTCCATTTTTGATCATCTCTGAACCATTTCCAACCTGACAGGTGCTGGGTTGCTCCTCATTTGGGTGCTCCCGTACCACCCTGGGCCAAGTCTGCTCATCCCTTGTCAGCTCCGGGCTGGGCTGCAGCCTCCACACCCCTGAGCAGACCCAGGTGCTGCTGGACGCAGCCGCGGCTCCACGGGACACCCAGAGCTCCTCTTTCAACAGCTCGGTTCTGCATCCCTGAGGGCTGCTGAGCACATCAGGGCTTTTCCTCTAGGACTAAAGGGCAGAGGGATCTGGCAAACATCGCATCGAGAGGAGCTGTACTGGGAAATCACTTTATACGTACTGGTTTTATACTTGTTTCAAACTACTGTTTAACAACGAGCTCCCTTGCCCTGTGGTATGTGAGTCTGATTTATGGGTAACAAAGACAGCTACTTAGCAAGAGCGTACAGCTAAAGGCACAGGACCGGTATCACACAGGCAGCAAAACAGACAATATCCTACCTAATAAGCACTGTGCCAGCCTTCAATTGGAAGTGTCGTTAGCATGGACCTTACAACAGTTTGTTCAACTGCCCAGAATCCTCAAAGAAGAAGAAATAAAGCTCTCGCTTTGTATTTCTCACATACGTGTGCTTCCCCTCCTCTTCTCCATTCCTTCTTATAAAGAACTTAAAAAATTGCACAGCGTAAATGCAAACCTTTCGGCCAGATTGGCTTCGTTTCCTGTAACGTGTTTAGCCATGTGGATTTTCTGTGCTTGTTTGAAGGAAAGAGGAAAAAACCCATACTATTGTATAAGCTGTTCAGGGAAATATCTGGGCAAGAGCTGCAGAGATAAGCACACGCTGGACAATACTTTTAAATACTCAAATTAACAAAAACTGGCTTGGAAACCATTTTTAATTTGTCAAACACGATCCTCAGCAGTGCTGCCATGGGCAACAAAAATGTGAGTTAAACTCCAGAGAAAAAGTTCACTCTTTTTGGCTGCTCTCCTCCTCCAGCAGATAGTGTAAAGGAAATAGAAGGACTGGTGTAATGTCATAAGAAGTAGGGTTTTGGAAGACTAAAATACTGACCTTTTGGAAAGAAAAAAGTCCCCCAAACAACACATGCATTAGTCATAATCAAAATATTGTGCATAATACAGCTTCCCAAGGGACCTGGCTTTGTTTCAGAGCCACCAGGGTTCAGCATCAAGTACAAGCCTGTTTACTTTGTGTTGATGCAAGTAACACAGCATGAGGTGGAGATTGTGCATCACAGACCCATGAAGCCAAACGGGACCTCCAAATATCATCGGGTGCATCCCATATATTGTGGGATATTTCTCTGTTTATACACCCCAATACTACCTCCCTTTTTTCTACAAGAGTACGTGATCAACGGTGACATTTTTCTTTTCCTTTCCTCACACTCAGTTCAGGCTGCTCCTGCGTGCTCTGTTTGCGTATCCAGTTACTCCCAGCTACGCACTGTTCCTTGTAAGGTGCACATTTGCATGATGCGGTGGACACCGCATTTTGATGACCAGAGTATAAATCAGAAATGGTGGCAAAATATTTGACAATAACCTGATAAATACATTTATCAGATCAACTATTCAACAATATCCTGATAATTAAAAGGTACGCCCAAGCTTCCGTAACGATAGCTGCACGCAATGCACACTTCTGCCAGGCAACACTGTCCCCTCAGTTCAAGAAGGACAGGAACTGCTGGAGAGAGTCCAGCGTAGGGCTACAAAGATGATGGAGGGAGTGGAGCATCTCCCTTATGAGGAGCAGCTGAGGGAGCTGGGTCTCTTTAGTTTGCAGAAGAGGAGACTGAGGGGAGACCTCATTCATGGTTATAAATATTTAAAGGGTGAGTGTCACGAGGATGGAGCCAGGCTCTTCTCGGTGACAAACAATGATAGGACAAGGGGTAACGGACACAAACTGGAACACAGGAGGTTCCACTTCAATTGGAGAAGAAACTTCTTCTCAGTGAGGGTGACAGAGCCCTGGCCCAGGCTGCCCAGAGAGGTTGTGGAGTCTCCTTCTCTGCAGACATTCAAAACCCGCCTGGACGCCTTCCTGTGTAACCTCATCTGGGTGTTCCTGCTCCGGCAGGGGGATTGGACTGGATGAGCTTTGGAGGTCCCTTCCAATCCCTAACGGTCTGGGATTCTGTAAAAGGCAAGAAATGTCCTTTACCTGTCCAGAGACAGAGATCTGAAGCATTGAACTTTGAGTCTTTTAGATGAGGAAAATCCAGAAGCCACAGGTTTATGTTATTGCCCGTGACCACTGCTACTAGAAAAGGCAACCTGAAAGCAACAGCCCTTTGCTCCTGTACCCTCATAGGCCTTGAGATGACATAAAACCTCTTGACACAAGCCCAGGGTGAGCTGAGCTGAGCTTTACTAGAACGAAATCGCACACCAGTATTGCTGTGCTGCCAGGACACAGCCTGTACGCCTCCAGAGCAGCTCTGGTACCTTCGCAGAAACCAGAGAGGGCAAAGACTCCTAAAACACATCAAGGACAGCAACAGCCTCCTGCTGCTCCACACCAAATTCTTACCTAACGAGCACTCCTGCCCACTTCAGGAAATGTTAATCACAGCACACTGAATAATCTTTGATGACTCCAAGACAAAGCCTAATCTGGATTTAGTTTAGCAGACAACATGCAGACATGATTCAGCTTGGCATTTTTAATATCCATACATACACACTTGTATAACCAGCACGAGGTACACTTCCATAATCACTCAACTTTCTACCTCTGTAGTCCAAAAGGAATGAAAGTCAACCCAAATTGTAGAGTACCACAGCCACACCAAACATCCTTTTTCTGTTTGTACTTAAAGCAACACCCATGGGAGCTGGCACTTGTGCTGCAGTGCAGTTCTTCCTCCTCACTCACCCTTGGATTTCCCAGTGACTAAACCCAGTACAGAGCAGGAAAATGGCCAGGGTACACACAAATTTCAGAACTATTTAAATCAAAGGATTCTTACTGTGCTCATCACCAAGATATTTCAGTGCCAGTAGTGCATGAGATACTGTGAGAGATGAGATAGTACAGTACTGTGTTTGTGTTTATTTCTGTTTAGCGAGAGGAACATCTTTGTGACTACTCCTGAGGGCATAAAGCAGCGTGTTTTCCTCAACATATTCACGTTCTGGCTCACTTAGATTTATTTGCAAGTCACTACTATCTTCCCATTTCATTAGTTACAAGAGGCTCATTTAAAAAAAAGGAAAAACAGAACTGTATCAGTCACTTTAGAAAGTGTTTATTCAAAAGCTTCATAGCACCATCTTGGTTTTTAAAACATCCAAATAAAATGCAGCAATTAAAATGTTTTGTTTCGTTTCTTGTTGAGCATGACACTAACTCCACCTGTAAATGTATTTATGGTTGTTCTTGCTAATACAACTGAAAAATAGCGCTCCTGTGCACACAGACATAGCACTGGGCCTTGATGTGGGTTATCCATAACAGAGAAATAAAACCTGAAACTGGAGTCCTCCAGGAAGCAGTCTGCCCACCCCTCACCTCCCCAGCTCTGCTGGAGGGGAAAATTTTCTAATGGTAATTTTTGGCAGTTTCAATTCTTATGTCCCCTCCAAAACTTCAGCAAAACTAAAAATGTAAATATAGAAAATATTTTGGGCATTGTTATGGTACAAGTCAGACCATGAATGGTTAATTTATAAGTACTTTGATCCATTTGTTCAAGAATCACCTAGCTGTTAATTCTAAGGAAGGGCCTTTTATAGCCATCTTTTCTAGGGAAAACACCAGTCAAAATAATTCTACTGAGTTACCATGCTGATTTTTCATAAGTATTTAAGGAGAAATCCAGCTGCCATTGACAGCACTTGTAATATGTTTTCATCGCGAGTTTTAGCCTTTTCCCTTTTTAGTTTTGTGGAGTAGTCTGAGAGCTTTGTTCAGCCAAGTCAGTAAAGCGCTATTTCCCAAAGATCCTTAACTTAGATTCAAGAATAGGGACCATGCTGAGGTGCTTGGTCACATTAACATTTGGCTATGGCTTCCAACCACTGGAATTTTCTATTGCGTCTACTTCGGGTTGACCGTTAAGAGGCAAGCGCTCGCTGGTTCACTTGGCTAAAGCCCCCATCGGGTCCCAGGCCGGCAAAACAATCGGGTCCTGCTGCATCACGGCCAAGACATCTTCTGGGACGTGTTTCTTATCCACCACCACCTCGTACACGTACTCAGAAAACCAGTCGTCCGTCATGATCAGGTACCCTGGGGAAGAAAGCAGTGCGTTACAACAGAACCAGCACCAGCACAGCCAGGCAGTCACATAACACAGGTTTCACCTATGAATGATGCATTACAAACAGGACCTAGGAATGCTGTACCTCTCCAAGAAAAAAAATCACAAATAAATTAACGTATGAGATAACTGGGTGTACTTCATGTGCACTGAAAGACCAAGCAAGAGGACTGCTAGGAAAAACAAGACACGGAATATTCATAACTTCTGCTGTTAAAACAGGCATTGAGAACACTCAACTGATTTGCAATGCCTTAAAAAAAAAGGTATTTAAGGCAGAATGTAAAATTTAGAATCTACAGCTTTAGAAGCCTTCAGGTTTTTGTTAAGAAAAGGGAAGTTTTCCCAGTGAAAATCCAAACCATCCTTGGCTTAAGAAAGCTGTGCTGGTTTAGTTCTTGTAGCAAGAGGAGGCCATCTGCTTTTCTCATCTGTAAAAGCATTTAAATCACACTTTGGCTGAACTAAATCTTATTTTTTCCCCTTAATATAATTCTTACTGAGAATTTTAGCGAACAGCCTTTGAACTGTGGGGGGAAGTCACATTTAGAGTATCACAGGTTTTAGCAGAAAGCTACCATTGGAAACAAACTATTCAAAGTAAACTGAAAGGAAGAGTGGCTGGGAGAGGGAAAGCATTTAGAAGACAGATGAGGTGGCTTTATGTAATAAAGTTCCTCATGTCCTTATACAGTATCATCACACAATCAAATGAAACAAGAAAATGTCCAAAGAATATGGACAATAAATGCATCTATCTCCACCATCTTGTTTCTAAAGCAAGAAATCAGATAATTCCCATAAATTAAAAACCCTATCAATTGTAATCCGAGCTAGAAGCCATTTTGGAAACACAGCCAAAGGGAGCTGCCTTGATTATTCTCTCCTCAGGATATGAGTTCTTGGGACACACAAAAACCTCTCACTCCCAAGAGCCAACAAGTAATTGCACCCTGAGAGGATAATGAACTCTGCTTCTGACATCCTGCATCTCAGGGCTTGACAGCACCGATTAGGATCGCGGTGTCTGAACAAGAAGGAAGCAGCGAGCAGAACTTCAGAACATGCAAATAAGTGAGGCTGCTCCTGGCGAAGGCCTGCACCCGCTGTCACAATGAAAGCCATTATCAATTTCTTCATTAAAAGGAGACACTTTATACGCAGCTATATATATATACACACACACACCTCAGAGCCTGCCTGAGGCAACCCTGAGCTCTGCACGCCATCCAGGTAACGGGCAAGAAGTGAGAAAGAAATAGAAAAGTTTTCTGCATTTCTGGGCAGGGCACACAACGGGGTTTTACCTCAGGCAATCGATCTGTTGCTCCTACTCCAACCATTGGTATGTTAACACCATGCAAAGAAACCCAGAACAGCAGCATCTTGTAACAAAACACAGCATCTGACTATGAAACCGTAATCCTCTGTGGATGAGGCTGGTCCACATTTCTGACGTACCCAAAGGAAAACCTGATCACAGAGCATTTTAAACCTGACAGGTGCTGGCCAGGGAGGATGAGTCTGTGAGTTACCACATAACCTGGGATTTGGGTACCTGAAAGTAAAGCCCTTGAAAGTTCCCAAAGAACTAAGGAGAAGTCACTTGGGCTTGTGCTGTAACTCCTCCATAGGGAAAGCAAATCAACAGAGCCTTTCTGCCACAGGGTACTTATGGGATGATTGGTATACATATATACAAATACAGACACTAAGTGTCTACAGCTAAATCCTTGAAATGCCTTCACACAGAATACGTATCCAACAGCCAGCACAAGAGATTAAGAAAGTCAAAACGGAGCCGACTTGTAGCTGGAGATGTTTCACAAAACAAAAGCTCTTTTCATGCCAAAACAACCAGATAGACCCCTATCAAATGGATGTGATAAGGTGATTTAGTGTTCCCCTCTTGCCTGCTTTTAAAAAAAGATATCCGATAGGATAAGCTGGGTTCAAAGTTAGGTAATAAAGTACTGTGACTCCAGAACAAAAGAGTAAGCAGAATAATTAAACTTGTCTGTATGGCTGACAAAGTGCCAGTAAAACACAGAAAGGAAACATTTGACTGGGAAGTGACTTTTTTACCTCAAAAAACAAGCAACGTTTGTCAGCAGCTGCGTTCGTTCCTTGAGGAAAAACAGACAGGATTCCAAGAAACACTTTTACAACAGATATGAATGTAATTAGGAAATATTTAGGAGAGGCAACGTTAGGCTGTTCCCAGGGCTTCCCTTTCTCCAGGACAAGCACTACCACAAGAACTCAGCTCTGCCCATGATACCCAAACCAGGAGTCAGTCTTTCCTCTCCTGCACCATGCAAGTCCCATGGAACAGGTGGCATCTGGCACCTTCAACCGTACTTGGAGCAAAGCGAGAGTGACCCCATGTGAAAAACACTTCCATTTCCTACCAACAATAAGCGATTTGTTTGTTTTAATGACTCAAAGTCCAGTCTCTGGAGTTTTGTTGCAGCCTGTACCCTTTATCATCTCATCCAAGAAATAACGAGGTTGGGGCCTACTTGTATCCCCCACACCCAAGCGGGCCTCAACTGGGATGTGCCAAGTTTAGCATCACTCTTGGCTGCCTCTTTACGGATGTGGATTCTGGTTCTCTGCACTGGACTTACTCAAGCACAGCTTCCCGATACCTTCACAAGGCTGATAAGACTTAAAAAAATCACTGCCAGACCCAGTGGCACTGCAAGAGAGCTAGGACAGACCACAGATCCTCACCCTCCTACACCAGCTGGTACTGTTTGAGGAGTGAAACAGCAAGGCAGGAGGAAGGGGAGGAAACCCCATCAAGTTCCTTCTTCTAGTGTTTGGGAATGAGCTCAGAAGGATACCTCCAATTGCCTTTAGTTCAACAGCGGGTTGTTTGGTCATACCCAAGAAAAATCATTCTGGGATTCACCTCCCTAAAAAAAGGAGCCTGAAGTAAAAGTCCAGCATCGTAGTTCAAATGGGATTTTCTGGCAAGGCACTTTTCCAGGCAACTCCCTAACCAAAGCAAAATATAGAAAGTGAGCAAGACTTTCCAGAGACGATGGTCTCTCCCAATGCAACACAGATAAGCGAGTGACTCACTCAGAAAATTCATGAAGATGGCATGCACACACTACATGGATACAAGGCACACACTGCGTTTATTCAAGTCACTCTGGGGTTCTATCGTATTTCAAAGGAACAACCCAGCTCCTTGTAAATGGCTCTAGAGCTCACTCTTGAAAAGTGAATCCGTATTTGGAAAAGAGATAATGTCTAAAGAAGGTAAACTTACTGCAAACCAAGTAAGTTAAGCTTGCTTTGAACTTGTTTACCAACTTCGTAAGACTTAAGACTAGAAAACTGAGTTAATTTAGTGTTATTTCCAACTTAAAGCCTGTGGCACTACATTTCTTTCATTTCCAGTTGCTGTAGTTAATTTTTTTATTTTGGATTACATGCTCAAAGTGAAGAAAGCCGAAAATGCACATGGCTCCCCACAGGTATTGTTCACAGCCCCCATAGCTGTCAGGGCATTCACCGATGCTCCAGCCCAGCAACACCAGCACAGAACCACCACAGCCCAACAGGTACAACTGGAACAGCCAGATCCTGAAACTTAGCCCAGTTTTCTCCAGTTCTAACAAACAACTCTGAACCTTGGCCAAGGAGCATACATGGATAGCACAATCAGAGCTGCTGACAGACACCAATTAAAGGCAGAATGCTTGGAGTAGTAAATGAAGTCCACTCCAAGCAGTTGTAAAGCAGAGTGAGCACTTCCTCCCTGGCAGCATTCCTCTAGCAGTAGCAGCATCTACCACCACAAACCAAGCGTCTGGAGTGTCTCAAAACAGTTCTGACAATAACAGCACAGCTACCCAGGCATTTTTCTATTTTATATTCTCTATTATAAAGGTGCTTAATGAATTAGTTATTTGTTCGTATTTGGAGACAAGAAAACCTTTAATGTTACTTCTTTTTAGTATTATTTGGCTTCTTCATTTAATCCAACATTCCAAAGTCCATTTTACTGGTGTCACACTGACGAGCCTCGAAGGCTGAACATCAACATGGTTTCGTTGTTTTGTCAAGACTAAAGATTTTTATTGGAATACTTTGCTGTGAATGTATACCGCTAACTCAGAAAAGAGTACTACAAGAGCAAGGGACCAGGCAATAATTAAGGCGCTGTTCCAAGAATAATCTACATTTCAGTTAGCTGTTCATGTGTGAGACATCAAAAGCTTATGAGTAAGACCACATCCTAAAACAGTTTTCTGGAAATAGTCTATTCCCATAAGAAACCTCAAACATCCTGGGAAACTTCTGCCATACCAGATTAATGTGCAATAGAAAAATGTGGGCAGCAGTGACTGTTCTGGTATGCCCTGGGACACAGTTTATTGTGCCACGGTGGAGTCCACATCCGGCCTCAGACAGGAGATGACAAAAACCATGGAGACTTCACTCCAATCATTTAGGACAAGCAGAGTGACTGCAAGCCATGTGCCACACCAGGCAGCACATCCACGCCGCTCAGCCCCACAGTGCTTACAAACCCTTTTTAAAGGAACAGTGGTGCAGGCCAAGCCAGTCACCACCAGACAGCAAGTCCATGCAGAAAACCCGACAGGAGCTAAACTGTGTGTTAACTGTGGGTTTTCTTGTTGCTAGTGCTTGTCATAGCAGAGATGACCACTGTAAGGATGCCCCAGGTCCCATTTTCAGCACAGCTTCAAAACAGCAACCGGAATTACAATTTTTCATTTTTTTTAATGGACAGGTATCAGAGCTGGAGCAGTTCACACTGCAGCTATACACAGCACAAGCTGGAAGGAGCCATATCCTCATTTCCTCATTTACAAAATCAGTGAGTAAAAGCTTGCAGCGATTGATAAACAGTGCTTTAAAAGAAAATATAAACCACTTATGTTTCACACACGACCAGGAAAATTATTTAAGTACCATAAGCCAGAGCCACCATGAGGTCCCAGACTTGCATTCTTCAGCAAAAGATCAAGAGCAACTAAACAGCAAAGGTTCTGCTGTCCCTGTCACACTTGTCAGACTCCTACCACTGTTGGGGGTTTTTGGCAGGGGTAATAGCCAGCAATTTACTTGTGATCAACACCAAACTGGTACACAATGCTTCAGAAAATAAGCAGCTTTACAGCAATAAGCTAATCAACCTTAAAAAATTATAATGAAGTATTTAAACTTTGACAAAATCTGAACTTTAGATAAAGTCTATCAGTATCTTGCCATAGCTTCCATACACAAAGTAAACAGGTTGGTTATTGGATTTGTCAAAAGCTGTAGTGCAAAGACAATACATGCCCCATATCATTAAGCTATTTCAGAGTTCAGCTCTAGCCTCCAAACATAAAAGCTTCTGTTGGCTTTGTCCTCCTGCCCCTGGGACCAAGATGTTGTCTGTCAAGAGGTGTCATCAGCCACCTATGGCCACCTCCCAAAAATGCAGTTGCTTCTACAGCTGAGCTTGCAGCCACAGTGGCCAAGTTTATCCAGTGGCATTTCCTGCTTCTCCATTACTGTTTGGATTTGATTCGCTTTGATTAAATCATATTTAAGTGAAGAATGTTTGTCTTCCAGGAACAGTGCCATAACTCAGCCATCCACATGCTGCTGCAGGCTTGGTTCACACCTGTCCTGGTGAAGGACACATAGCACATTTCTCCTCCCCCCCTCCTTATTTCCAAACACTAAATTCAGCTTTCTGTTCCCATGACTATAATTTACCTTTGTTACCACGGTCTTCACCCCAGGAGTTTTCCACTCTCCATTTTTCAAAGGCCTCCTCTTGCCCATCCTGTAGCAAAACAAGTAGAAAATGCGGTCAAGAAGAGAGCCTGCAACAAACATTTATTTTAACAAGAAAACTTAAATTGAGCTAAATTCAAGTTTGCACTGAACTGGCAGAATTTAAGCAGCCTTCCCTATCACCTGTCAGGACACAAGGGCCTTCTGAAATACAGAATGCAACTTGCTTGAACTGGGAATCAGAGGAAAGGATCAAGGGGAAAGCAGCAACTGTAATAATTTAGAGAAGTATTAGTAAAAGGCAAGTATAAACGTGTGAAGGTATCATACAGCTCCAAGTCTGGTGCAGTGAAAGATACACAAGGCTTCTAGCGAGCACAAAGCACATTGGAGCTCAAGTTCAGAGGTGTGCAGCATTGCAGCCTGCACTGTGCAGATCTGTAATCTGGTTCAAATTTACCAAGCACATAAAAGCACCAAACGCAGCTTCAGAGGTTTGCTGTGCCACAAATGAACTATGGCTTTCTTCACGCAGCCTCTCATGAGGAAACAGCAGGTCTCTTCAGGAACCAAAGAAGAGTAATTATTTTGCTACTACATTTTTTTAATGCTAAAAACTATCCGAGATAACAGCCCACAAATCCAATCTTAATATTCAACAGCATACTGTCGCATTGCTTCTATTCTCACTTAAAAAATATAGGACAGTCCTTAAAATTAAGACACTCTAAAGCTGCCAGGCTGAGGATAAGTCAACTCTTGATGCTATCAGACAGAAACTGGGATTAACATGTTTGTGTATTTTAAGTTTCTAACCAAAAGGTGCATTTAATCCACATCAATTGTTTTTAGGTTGTAAAATTGTAATAGGATTTTTTTTTAAATCTTCAAAGCCTTTTTATAAAGTAGGTAAATCCAAAGTATTACATTTTACAACTCAGTTATCAAAGCTTCTTTAGATTAAGTTAAGGTTTAATATAAGACAACATGTTCCAACAAAATAGAAACAACTATGTCCAGTTTGAATGTGGAAGAGATGCTAAATGCTGAACTTGTTCTAGGATAATTTCTTTTAAACTATCTTTTGATTTTAGAGATACCATCCATCATATACACGTCCTTTTCATCAGGAAATCAGGTCACATTTGTTCACAGTTTATACAAATATACACTTAGGCATGCAAAAATATGAATTTAAAAATACAGACCATAGATTATAGCTGCCAGTGGTGTGCAGTCAGAAACTGGCTACAAGCAGTGCAAACATACACACCTCAGTCGTGAACAGATAAATAGGTTTGAAACACCAGAAAAGAGTAATTTTAAAGATCTAACAAAAAACAAGTTTTTGTAAAAATGTGTTCATGCAACCTGATACACAAGCCAGAAGTGTTAAGAACTCAGAACACAGGACAGGAAAACGTATATTGAGTTGTAAAAAGTAACTCAAGAATTCTCATGGCTCAGCAGTCCCATCCCAAGTCCTCAAACTCCACAGCTCAAGCAAACTTTTCCAATTATATGCAAGCTGCTATTTCTCAAGCCAAGGTCATTTTGAACAGGAAGAGATCACTTCAAAGAAACTTTAATAATGACCACTTCTGGAAAGAAACAAAAAACATCAACACTGCAGATAACCCTGAGCTGTAAATTTTTACATGGTTCTTTTCACTTTGTATGTGCTTTGTTATATTGCCAGGAACAGATTTAGTTGTGAATTCATCTCTGTCTACTGTCTGCCACCAAGCTATTTTGGACACCGTTTTCCTTCCCTAATTATGAGTTGGTCAGAGAGGTCGCATGCCAGCGGCTTGTGGGAGCATAAGACTGTTGCAAAGTGCCTCCTACCGGCATTTCAACAGAAGGAGCTTCAGGCTGCAAAACAAACTGGGCTAACCCATGCAGTGGGACATGGTAGGAGATACTTGCTGCCATACTACATTTCTTGGTCAGCAAGATACATCAAATTCTGTATTGAAAAATGCGTTAACATAGGTTTTCTGGTATCTGAAAAATAGAAGCTGACTTTCTTTACCCTTCCTCCAATAAAAGTTTGTGGGCAGAAGGAAAGTTCTTGACTTGGGTAAAATTCTTTCCTCCTTGTTAAATATTTACAGTTCCAAGAGACACAAACAACATGGAGAATAACCCGGGCCTTGTGCACCAGGGTGTTGAGGCACACGCACTGAACTCCAGCAGAACAGCTTACATGCTGCAAATGAGCCCAGAATACAAACAAGCTGCCAAATACTCCAATACATCCATGCAAGCATCAGAACTTGAGGAGCAAGACTACCTTCTCGGTGACAGCTGTCAGGACCATGGCATGGGTCATCATTGATTCTCCAAAGATCAATCGTTCTGCTTTGTTCATGTTCTTGACGGAGACGCCAAACACCAGCTCATGATTAAATCTATCAGAAAGCCACATAAGCAATATCAAAAAGGATGCAAGGAGAACCCTCGCCAGAAAAATCAGGGCATCGGCAGACTGCACTGTCCCAGGAGCCACTGCACGGGCATGCTGAATTCAACTATTTTTAGTGTCAGAATAAAGATGACAACTCCCTTTAGGAGTGCCTCTCACCGCATACAAGACAATTCAAAATGAGTAAGCACTTGTAGTGCTTCTTTAAATAATAAGATTTTTAGCTAACAAGTGAAATAAACATTTCTGCTGCTGAAGTACTTAAATACACTCTTCTGGGGTATACAATCCAAAGTATGGACAAATTAGTTTCTTGAGCAGTCAAAGCACTGCTTATGCCTCAGCCAAGTATCCCAAACGGTATTCTCTGTTGATTTTCTACTTACATATTCATGTCATTGATTCCCAGCTTGCCATAGAAGTGCTTTGCGACATCGCAGCCAAACCACACAGCCTACAAAGAAGAAAGAGTCATGTCTAGGCCATATCCAATGAGTTTTACATTACAAGGGTTGCATCATGCCATCCGTGAAGAGAAACCAAACAAACCTCGCCATCCTTAATGGACGCTGCAGCTAATTTTTTCAAGACCTCGACAGGCTGGTTGTTGTAGAGCGTTTTCCTCCCTCCTACCATGTTGCCCAGGTACTCCACCGTATACAGCCTGTTGTATGGGTTCTGAGGGCGAGGATCATTCACTAGACAAATCTGCCAAAAACCAAGATGTCATAAATTAAGGTGCAACTTGACTGAAAACTTGTAGAAGTCAATGTAGATGAATTTCAGAGAACTGCTTTTGTCCCAGCTAGCCGTCTGTCCCATTTGCAAAAAAGCCACTTGGCTGACTTGTAGAAGTCAATGTAGATGAATTTCAAAGAACTGCGTTTGTCCCAGCTAGCTGTCTGTCCCATTTGCAAAAAAGCCACTTGGCTGAAATACCAATTTTTTTAAGTTTTGGCTTTTTTGTTCACATCAACTGCAGCACAGCAGCACTGCACATTATTCCTGCTCTCTAATGGCTGTCTTATAGCATTTTATGACCAATTTGATCATTATGTATTTTATAATTACAAAATCATCACGGAAGGGCAATGCGAGATCACAGATAATTGAAGGGTAAAACACAAACAGGAGAATGGGGAGAATAAACACAGGGCTATTTTTGATTTGTAGGAGTGGTACCCATCCCACATGGTGCAGTTACGGTGGTGGACGGTATGCTTGCAACGGTGGAAAATAAGATTAGCACTAAAAAAAGGCTCTTGGAAGTTACTGCCTTTCAGCATCCCCAACCTTGTCCTCCATGTTGAAGTAAGGCTTCACGTGCTCAGTGTAGAACTGGACCGGTGTCACGGGGCCGTATTTGTGGTAGTTCTTCTCCTTATCCCGGAACTCCCAGCAGAAGGTCTCCGGAGGGCTGCCCAGGCAGGTACTCACTATTCTGAACACCTGTCCAGAGAAGGAAACAGCTGTGAACTTGCTGAAGCACACAGGTCTCCCTCTCCTACCACAGCAATGCCACTGATGGATGGATTTCTCCATGTGAGAGCCAACTGGAGAAATGGGATCTTAACGGTCACCTTTGAAGAACATAAGCATACACACATGAGGCATTTGCATTCAGCTCTGGGAGTCTCAGTGTTTCAACAGTTCAAAAGCAATCTGAAAGGCCACAGAAAATAAACTCTCTCCATGCTTATGCTGAACCTTCTCAGGCAAAACAGAAGCTGAAGGTTGAACATATAAATTCCAGGTTATCCTGGGAATGCAGCAGCCAAAAGCAAAAGCCAATGCACTGTCCAGTCCCATTCCAATATTTCATAAGTAATTCTGAAGCTCCTCCAACAAGGATCCTTTTCCAGTGCAAGAGAAGCTTTATTAAACTGATTCCAGAAAGCCTTAAGCATTCAGCATCACCTGTTCCACCGGGTGGTTTGCCCCAGAGACAAGCAGCCCTCCTAACATGCATACAGCAAAGCATTTTATCCCAGTGTTTCCCTTGTACTAATCCCTTTTTTCCTGTAATGTTAATTTGGATTTCGAAGATGGTCCTTTGCTTCTTTCCAAAATCCTAGAATAATCTTCTCATCTGTTTTAATACATTCAACAATGTCTCAGTTCAGGATTAAGGTTGCAGGTTATGCAATTTAATTCAAGATCCCTGCCTGCTGACTGTGACAGCCTTTGCAGCTGGCAGCTTTCTGTTAATTTTTAGCATGAAAAGTTGACCAGACCAGAGTCATCAGCCTCCCTGTAAATCAGAATATGAAACAGCACTTAAGAATCACTACTGTACTTTCTCACAGGGCTTATCACAAAATGCGCTAACTCGCAGGCAGTATAACCAGATGACTGTCTTTAGGGATATTTAGCAGGACCTGCCACAGGTACTCTGGGGACAGAGAATCCAATCACATTTAAACAGGTTTGAATCTGTTTCACCTCAGCCAACATTGGTCTGCTTCAGCTTTATTTCAGGAGCCAGTTGAGCTGATTTGTACAGATCCTAAGGCCCCATAAGAGCTAGTTTTGTGCTAGTGTGCACTTCATGCTGATGGCAAAAGGAGTGCAATGTTCATGCTAAGTAACGCTGGCTGTGCACAAAACACAAAGGTGTTCTTGCTTCAAGCAATTTAAGAAAACAAGTCAGATTGATTACGGGTTGAAACAAGGGTGGAGGCTTAATGTTTTGCTGGAGGAACTCACATTTATTTCTCAATAAATATGTTAAAGAACAAATGTAAATCCCTAAACTACTACAAATATTTAATTTTGCACAGGCTGCACAAAAGGTAGCATTTGCTGGGGACACACCCACATTACCTCAGATGATCCCAAGCAGTGAGAGATGAGGCCATGAAAACAAAACAAGAAAAACGCCTAAAAGGAGAGCAAGGAGCAAGCAGGCTCCAGCCAGAGAAAGGAAAATGATGGAGACAGAAGTCTCCACAGAGGTAGTGAAGCCTGGCATGGCCAACCCCAATTGTTCTGCCACCACAGGCCATCTCTTAGTATCTCACAAGCTTCCCCTATCAATAAATAAAATGAGACATATTTAAGCTAAAAGGTGACTTAAATCACTCTGGTGACAACTAGAACCAAGATAAGGCAAAGATAAAGTGTCTTGTGCTAAAAACCAAACTGAACGAGGAGGGGAAAAGGAGGACGCTCCTGATAAGGAAGAGTCTACAAAGGAGAACGGTAAAGGAAGACAAATTCAACCACATGCACTGCACTGATTTCAACTTCTGACCTGCTGTGCACTGGTTTGATAAGAAGAATGTTTATACAAGTGCTGGAGTGAATATTTAATCTTGTGTTTCCAGCATGAGCAACCAAGATTTGCTATGCAAATACAACTTCACAGAACAAAACCAAGTTCTGCTTTGCCACGTATAAAAATAGATACAAGAGCTCTTACAAACATGAAATGAAGAAGTGGTTTCAAACCTTTAAAACTGAGTGTTTTAAAGTATACAAGACCAGTGCAATTGCACATTTCAACTACAATGTTTATTAAAAGTAAATCCACTGAAGTTGCAAACCACTATTGCCACTGCTAGAGGAAATGGTGTGCTAACTTCAGAGAATTAAGCACAGCCTTTCTAAAGAACAGACAAATTGCAATCAGTTAATGAACCTTTAATGCTAGTTCCAGGACCCCTTGTTGCAGGGCAAGAGGCTCTAAACAAATGAGGAGACATTTTGTGGTGAACTCTATGTCACTGCCCTAAAAATTAACATTTCTAGGAAGCTTTTGATGTTGGCTGTAAAATCCTCAAAGGGCCTTTGGACACACACACAGACTAGATGCAAGTCATATTAATCCACTTTTGAACTAAGTGCTGATTGGCAACATACTGGAGTAGGCTAAGAGCACAGAATTACTGTTGATCTTAGGGCATACCTTTCATAAAAGTTTTAGTTTCAATAATATAACCCAAGTAAGACAAATAATTTTTTAATCTAACCTTAAAATCAGATAAGAAGCTACACGTTTTTACATGAAGTGCAAAGATTGACTTCCAAAAACCAAACCAACTCATTAATACTTGCATATTAGTGGACCTTCCTGAGCCTTACAGAAACAGCCCAAGGTCAGTTCTGCCCGATACTCATGTTCACTGGACTGCAGAAAAACTAACACACAACTGAAACATTTAGTTTCTGAGTCATCCAAAGACAGACATTGAAACCACTGGGTGACTTTGCATTGTACATTTGAAAAACAAATTATGTACTTTTAAAAAAAAATGCATGCACTTGGACAAATTAAAATAGCCTGGACTTTTGGCTATATAAGAATCAAGTATGGGGATTACTGAGTGAGAAAGTCACATGTGCCACTGTCACATTCAGTGTGAACAGAGGGAGGGCCAGCCACTACACACACACTGCAGACTTCCTGATCGATTGCATTTTGAGTTAATTCAGAGCCAGAAGCAGATGCTGCAATTCCCTCCTCTGCTGCCCCCAGTACAGACCACAGCTGGGTTCAGCCCTGCCTTCAGCTCACACCCTTGCCATAATGCAGAGGGCTCCCTTTCCTTGTTCTTTTCTGCTCTCTTGTGGGGAATTTCTGCAACAACACTTGTGCTGTAAGATTTACATTCAAAGCCATCAGAGTGCGGTTTTCAACCTGCCTCTTACCTACTATTTATAAAAGCCTGATAGGCCACTATTTTTATGCCACTTAAGGTACAAAATACTGCCTTCCTACAGAAAGAGGCAGATGTCTCTGTAAAATGTCATAGTTCTGAAATCTGTAAATTTGAGATATTTGTATGGAAGTACTAAAATTCAGAATGAGATAAGCAACAAGCCACTACAGAAAATTCACTTGAATATCTCCAAGCACATTGCCATACGTAACATTCCTAGTCAAGCAAACAAAAGGCACTTGTTCTGGCTGCTAGAACAAGAGTTAGCAAGAAATCTCACTCATTCTAGCCTCATGTTCCAGGAAAATTCATGGCACACAAATACATTTACCTCTTCTATCATCGTGTCCATCGCAGCACAAATTTCTCCTTTAACTGTTGCACTTTCCACCATACTTCTTAGCCGCAAACAGTATTCTCTCATCTGTTAAAAGAGAAAGTAATTTTATTATAAAGGTACAAAAGGTGCCACCTCATCAGTTTTCAGGACTTCTTACCTGGTTTGAAGCACCTATTTTACTCATTATAACATTTTCAAAATGAAAAGAAAATCCCTTGCAGAAGGCATTGTTAGATACGGATTCTTAAAAAGAATAAAGATAATGAAGTGATTTAAGGTAAAAGATTACAAAACCAAGCAGAAATCAACAAACAGTTGCAACTCAATTCCAGTTTTCCAACCATTGATTTGAAGCTTACAGCCATTAGCAATTCTTAAGGTTTGATTTCTCTTGGTTCTGTAACTGATGCCACAACATCCATAACCCATCACCATCTCTGTGACTCAGAGAACAGACTGTCTTCATCCTGTAAAATTTATTTTGCAATCCTAATGCATAATTGATCTCTTGGTTGATAAGAGGAATGGAGCATTTCCCCACCCCACGCAGAATTGCAGTAAGAGCAGCGTGCGCTTCCCATTACTGTCACCATCCATAAGGCCAGGAGCAGCGAGTGGGGCTCCCACAGGACCAGCTGGTTTGCAGTGCTCAAGACTAGAATAACATTAGTGCCGTTTGTTATGTCTGAGCTCATTTTAGCACATATTTTACATTTTTATGTAGATTTCAGCAGGCAATTTTCCCTGAGCATGTAGCATATGAACTGGGGAAAGAAATTAAGAGCCCACTGTAAAAACAAGCTTTAATTGCCTTTTTACCTAGCTACCTACACTAGCATCTTCCCAGATTAATTCACTTGTGCAGTTCAGGGAGCACATTTACACCTTCCCTTCAGACAAAGCTGCACACCTCTGTACTGTAAGCTGATTTTTAAGAGTCAATGTTTTGAAAATACCTTTTTTTTCCTTCATCTTTTCCATCAATTTTGGCAGTAATCTCAAGAAACCTTGGCATATTGGTAGATGAAATGAGGAGGTGGAAAAAAGTCACCTAGATGCCAAGTGCTAGTTTTGCAGAAACAGATATAATCAGCCACACATCAAGAATTAGCTTTTTGGAAATCTGAGGATTAGGAACAATTGCTACTAAAACTTTGAAGCTACTGAAGCCTGGCAATGGCCACCTTCCATAAACACTTTCCTGCTCCATGTATCAAGATTAACATCAGATCTTGAGTTTTTAGGCTGTTTTTTGAATAAAAGCAAGTTCCTGAGATGCACACAGTACTTTGGTCAACAAAGAGAAATGGAAGTAGGCACACCTGGAGCAGGCTCATTCCCATCCCCTCCTCTTAATTGTATCATCAATGTCAATTTTACCTTATGATTCAAGATCTCATTCATCCTTCTAGTAGCCTCTGTGGTATGAGACTCTGGGAAGTATTTCTTGGGGACAACACCATACTTTTCTAAAATAGAAGAAAACTATGCATTAACAATTGTTTTTTCCTGTCCTGGTTTGAGCTAAATAGAACTAATTTTCTAATTAGTGATTTTACGTTCCAGCTCAGTCTCTTCTAAGTGGCTGAACTTGCTGAAACTAGCAGCATGTTTTTCAGTATGTGCTGCTAGAAGATAATCTCAAGGCCAATTGTCTCACCATGGGTGTCGTGTTTGTGCCTACGGGGGGAAAGTGGACCCAGAACCGACCAACAAAGTACTCCATCCCACACACATCATACACTGTATAAAGCTGAAGGATCACAAGGGTCTCGACTCTTCTTCCATCTTGGACCCTTCTGCTTGTCTTGATCCTGCAGTGGCCGAGGTCTGAGCAGAACCCTGCTCATTCGTCTGCCTCTGATCCTGATTCGTGTGTTCCTGCATCAGCTCCCACTGCTGCTGAGTTCGGTCTGGGACCTTTCCAGTGTCTGCTCCCAGAGCCTCTGGGGATGTATATGTCATTGGGGGACAATTTTATATTGGTTTTGTATATACATATTTGTACATACCTGTATATATTCTATTATTTTCCTATTTACATTATAATCCTGTAGTATTAGTATTGTTTTATTAAATCTGTTAGCTTTATTTTCCAACCCGTAAAGTCTCTCTCCCTTATTCTCTTTTCTCTTCCCTTCTGAGAAGGGGAGAGGGGTTAATAGAGAGCAAAAGTCCAAGATTTAGTGGCCATCCCAGCCCTAAGCCACGACATTGCTACACAGCAGATGCTAGTAATTCTGCTTATACCCATATAAAAGCTAAATATAGTTGGGTTTTGTGCAAAGATTATAAGGGAATGTCTCTTATGTAGAGGTTACAAATATTCAAAGTTTACATTTTAATCAGTCACTGAATCTTGACCTCTGATCTGCATTCCACAGGGGTCCCAAGAGGTGGAATCCCTGAACTGCTCAGTATCATTTAATCCAGCACTTTTAGAAATCCTAAACTGCTCAGTGCTTTAAGAAGCTCCTTTTACCAGAAAAAAAATGAGTACTTGAAAATTAAGCTCCTGAAGTATCTTCTAAAAGAACTGGGCTGCTTATGAATTATTCCCTGTATTTTATCTAAGGTGAAGTGACTTAGCTTCCCAGTCTCCTTTCCTCCTCAACATTTATAAAACATAAGCAACAGCTCAATTGCTTCCTACATTATGGTACCAATCAAAGATGACACCATGCAAGGCTCTGGATGTAACAGCAACATCACAAATCTCTGCCCTGATTAAATATTTGTAACAACCAGATGGGAAAAAAGTAACCTCCAGGCTCAAAAGAAACAAATCCCTTTTGTGATTCTAAACTTACATTATTGGCTTGTTGATTTACAAAGGTGACAAATTATTTCACAATACAAATGAAAGCAAATGATAGCATAATTCAGAGACAGAGAAATATCTCCCTCATCAGTGTAAGGAGGATCACACTTAAGCTGGATCTTTGTAAGACCAGCATTGCCACATTCCACATCATTTCCCTCTCACTGATCTTTGTATACTCCTTCTTCAGGCTGCAACTCTCCAAGTACTTTTGTTTCTGCCTTGCGGACATACCCTGCTCCAGAAATGTTTTTTCCTTACCATGTGCCCTAAAAATTGTATACATGGATAGAAACAAGCAATGCCGAGTTGATGACTGAAGTAAAAAGGGATTAAACCTTTTTCCTAAATGGAACCTCTGGGATATTTAATGACTTCTGTTGATCTTCTGAGCTTCTATCAGCAGCAATGTGCAAGAATGAAGATCCCAGACAAGATTTAAGCCTTATATTTATAAGCTGGCATGAAAAAGGTCTCTGATTAAAAAAAGGTAGTGGCATCACATTCCTTAACTTGCAGGTCTCAAACTCAGTTTCTTCTCCTATTTCACTCCTCATCTCAAACCACTGTGCAACTTCAGGAAGGACTCCTAGTGACTAGTCCTCTTACCAATAATGTTAACCAGCATATCCCACTGTCCACCATCATTCGTGGGGTTGGAGAGCAGGAACTGTATCAGTCTTCCTTCCACAGGCTCCTTTTTCTGAGCTGTTTCCACAAAGGCATTTAAAAAGTAGTAGCAACGTTCGACCTGGAACAGACAGACAGGAAAAACAGATATTTTAAGTGTGACATTGTGCATTAATTCATCCCTGACTATTCAGTTCAGAAATCCTAACTAGGTGTAGCTACTTTCAGCTCATCCACTGAAGCCTTTTTTTTCCCCCTTCTTAACATTCCAGGGCTGATCCTATAAACTTATTTCTGTCACAGACCAAATATTTAGAAGTTAGCACAGAGCTTGAGGGCAGAGGAACAGGAAATGTGAAACAGAAGTTATGCAATGAAGCCTGGCCCAAACTAGTACTAGAGTTTCTCGATTTCCCTTAAGGGGAAAAAAGCAGGCGCACAGCTTACAGATCAGTGGGTCACAATCACAGCTGAAAGCTCAACAGAGCATTACAGTCACATTTCCCCCGAGCCTCCTACAAGTAACTTTTGAAATACACACAACACTTGAACCAAGACTTTCACTATTCCAAAACGTTACCATCTTGACAACTTTCTTCTCAAGCTGAAAGTCCCACTTTGCTCAACCCCCATTTAAAATACTTATTTAAAGAACTTTTCAGGCTTCTTCTCATCTACCTTTTCCACCTGGATTGTTAAAATGCTCCAGCCTAAAAGCAGTTCTGTCCCAATGCTAATATGCAACTATACGAACCATCCTAGCACAGCCTGCGACCTGTCCTACTGTACCTTATCCCAGAAAAAGAGGTATGACTGGCTGAATTCAAACTCTTCGATGTTGTATTTCTTCATGAAAGGAAGACGCATTGCATTGAGACAGGAAAAGATCCAACATCTCCCTGAGAGATCAAAGGAACAAGAATTAAACTGGAACAGTTAAGTGCTGCGTAAGGTTTTTTTCCTTTTAAACACAGGATTCATAACACCATTCTGCCTCAAGCCTTTGGCCGCTGTTCTGGTTGGGATTGTAAAACACTAAGAAGCTCAGGAGAAGCTCAGAAGTCTTTTACTGCAAACACAGCTCTTTTAACTGTTTCTACCTTGTATCATCCAAAAATGGGCAAACGCTGCAAGCATAAAGACTGGTATTGGCTCAAGAGGATGCTGCAGGGATTCAATTTCACTTAGAGCCTGACAAAAGGACTTCAAGAGGCAGCCATCGCTCCCAGAAGGGCAGTCAGGATAGCATCATTCATCTCCAAAGGCTGGGGCCGCCGAGGGGCACTCCCCTCCTTACTGGGGCTCACCCCTCCTTACCGCCAGCACCTC